AGTTATTTACTTTAAAAAAACGTTGCCCCACACTAGGATTTTCTCCTATGTCGTGGGTGCGTGGATCATATAAAGAGTTGTTGCGTGCGGGAATCGAACGTTGAGCGGCAGCCACATGACCAGCCACCGCGCCTACCGTGCATACTTTAAGGGTGAGAGAGCCATGCTTCGCCATGGGCCGACTCGACCGACGTCATGCCACGGCCTTATACATAACCGACGAAACAACGTTGCGTTATGTTTCGTCGTGTGAGTGAGGTTACACGAGGTTCCACAACCTCCCCAATCCCCAACAATCCTCAAATTCCTAATCCCCATAATGCTATCGACCTGATGAGAATTTATATGGGGATACACTTGTAACGCCTCAGGTGTACCGGGCGTCCATGGGCGGCGCCGATTGCTTACTATCAGGTGATCCGTCTGCTCGTTTACCGACACATCCCATAAAAAAAAATACAAACATATCGTCAACCTTTTAATCCACAAAAGGGTAGCAGTAGAAGGTAGGGCAGAGGTACATTTTTATGCACATAGACAATTTAACCCCCACTTTTCCCCATTTACATTATGAGTGTCATCTAATAAGGATAATCCCATGCTATGGTGCTCGTAGAACAAAAGTGAAAATCAACAATTAAAAATTATTTCAATTTCTTTACATTACATTTTTACGTTAAACTCTTTGCCGTATAATTTCATAAATTCTTTGCATGACGAAGAATTTGTCATAAAACTCCATAACCGTAAAGTTTTATACAATCTTTCTTTTTGACCCACTGTCCTTTGGCACTTGACCTAACCGGGTACTCTCCATAATTGCCGGGATGGGTAAAGTCCAAATTAAGTTAGCACATCCCGTTGAAACTTAACGGGGGTGCGCAAAATTTTATGGTTGCGTCGGTAAATTGTATCGTCATAAACGGAAATATGGACACACGTAGACACATTATACACAATAACCGGCTAAAGTTGTAAATTTAGTTAGCAGTAAAAGCGGTTTTAGTGTGTTGTAGTAACTTCTAATGAGAATTTAGATACATATTGATCCACGGATTTATTGACAAACTAATTGAAAACGTGTGTTTAATATTAATAGAGTTTGAATTGAGTTGTTCGTAATTATTTATTTACGATAGCTTAACGTATAACAGAGCTATCATAACGTCAGTTTGGTAAATATAAATTACGTTTTTGTGGTCGCAATTTTGAAATTCTTTTGATTTTGTATGTATCCGATACAAACTTTCACATACAACAAAAGTGATAGGTACTACTTTATATAGAAAACGAAATAGTTGTATAAATAAATACGGTTTTAATCGATAATCTTTATGACATGGATCTTACAACAATATCACTTACTATAGATACATTATATACACACGACACAGACACTAGTGGTTGTTTAAAGAAGGGCCAAATTAAAAGTACCCTCAACCGACGAGCATGCATGAAAAGATTGATGACTGTTGATGAAGCGAAAGAGGTATGTAGGAATCGTAGTTACTGTAGTTCCGTAGTCTCTGCCTACCCCCATGAGAGACAGGCTTGAATTTATGTATGTATGTATGTATGTATGTATATAGACACGTAACACTAGATAAAAAAGGGGGAAAAAATTAACACAAAAACATTAATGGAAAAATAATACGCATACCACATGTTACTACACATAATAAAACAATGACCTACATTTCCCAAAACAAGAAAAGGATAATAAAATTACTATGAAGGAAATTATTAACAATATTAATGGCAGACATATTTCATTTCGGAATCGTCTGCTATAGGTCTCTGTCGCTTCGTTCGCTGCCAAGTTGTGACGGTAAATGGATTAGCAACATTAATATATCTTTTAGTAGACAACTTTCTTGTTTTCTTTCCTTTTCTTGTTCTTGCGACTTTTGGTCGTGGTTTCGTGTTGTTATTTGGTTTAGAAGTCTGCTTGGAATCAGTAGATTTATCTTCAGGAAACTGTATAGCGCTTAGAGCATCCTGCTGTTGGACAAAGTGATCCAATTTTTGATAATTAAGTAGGTATATGCGTGTCGAATACTGTAGGACATCGTCTAGCTAGGTGCATTCCCGAGCGTACGGCGAGAGATGGAGCCCAAAAGGGCTAATGCTGATACGGAGCCGCGGAGAACGTAAAAGATTACTGGGGCTCCGGCTGGAAGTGGAGGAGCAAGAACGGGGTGGTTTTAGTCAGTAACATTCTGATACTCCCTTTTGCCTCACCCGGGCCGGAGAAGTCATTCGATGACTTTTTCCCTTAGAAAAAAAGCTATGTTCATTAACGACATCCACAACGTGACTAGCAACCGACGAAAAGCTGAAGTTTTATCTGTGACGTGCTGAGATTGGGTATTGATAATGAGTTGCCTAACGTCTCAAATAACATATGGGTCTTAAAATAGGGCCAAATCAATATTTTTAATCCCTATATATGCTCTAACCAACTATAAGACTAGATCTTTGGCTTCAGAAGAACAAAATATAATGTTACAATAAATAATTGTTCATTTAATCTTGCTCAGAAACATACAAACGACAAATAAAAAGGCTCAAATATAAACCTATAATATACATAAAAATATACGTAAATAACGAAGTTCTGGGTAGTAGCAACATCTACCTAATACATAGGTATTTCATAAATATCTTTCGGAAAATATAATATGAGCTGGCAACCTCGCGTTCCGTCGGATCAGCAATGTAAAGGCTTATGTTACATTTTAATGAGACACCTATTTTCTGATTCACAAACAGACACTTACGATCTTGTTATATAAATAAAAATGGTTAGGTACGCGTATTTCTTATTTTTCGATTATATCTGACATGGCCAACGTGATGAAACTGTGTTAAAAACACACACGTATGTTTAACAGTCATGGTAGATTATGGATTTGATCCTTATGTCAGCCAAAATACTGTTAAGGATTTCAAAGTATTAAGTACCTACAAAAAATCTACAAGTAGCAGGTACGCTAGGCACCCGATTTCAGATGTGGGAAAGTTTTATGGTCTTTTATAAATAGTCTAAATACATTATAGTTATATACCTAATGATTATCAAAATGATTGCTCTATTAAGTGTCTAAAGCTTGCAAAGGTAGATGTTAAAGAAGAAAAAACAAAAGTTCTATGGATCACTTGTGGCGACATAACACTTATCTATAAATACACCACAATCATATAAAAAAAACTAATTGCTTACACGAAAAAACACAACGACATTACGAACCAAATTTCTTATCCTTCTTATATTACATCGGCCACAATCATAGTAATTATAAAGAGAACAGAGGACCACTAACGAGGGTACATTACTGGGGAACTTTCCTCAAAGAAATAGACCCACCGGTTTAACGTAATCGGTTAGCTACCCAAACTACGGGCGGTAACAGTAATCATGTATCGAATAATTGGAACAAATTATACCAGTGTTATTATTAGAAGTAATTGCTAAGTTGTGGTATGTTAAGACGGTGTTAGTTAAGATTTCTGCTAAAGTATTATGTACGATTAATTATGATTACAGGACCTCTTATAAAAATGAGTTGCTCAAATGTTTGTACGCATATAACTTATGAACGACTTCACTGATTTCGATAATCCTTTTTTGAAAATGTTCATGATTGTCAGGATACATGGGAAAGATAGCTTTGGTACGTTCACGATCCGAGATCTGGGGTCTGGGAGAGACAGAAATAAGCCTTAATGAGGTAACAAACACCTCAAAGAGATATCAGACCACCACAGATGGGGTCTAATAGGGCTGATGCCGATACGGAGCCGTGAAGATAGTAAAAAGTTACTGGGACTTCGGCTCGAAGTGCAGGAGTAGGAACGAGGAAAATAAGTTTACAAATCTTATGATGAAACCATTACTATTATAATAACGATTTAATGTACACTGATTACAGTATAGTACTGTTACTATATCAATTCCCTAGGTGCTAGATATTTACGTCGCCTATTCCAGACAACTTCCCACCGGGTTTAACTTAAGTACGTAATAAAATCTTATATTTTGCTACAAGGTGAACCTGCCTCTAGTCTCTTGAAGCAATAACATTACCCGTCTAATCGGCAATGTTGCCATTACAAATAATACTGCTCTTAATGTAGGGATACCGTTATTTCGTTATTTTGGTGAATGAGAAAACGACCCAGACACACTTAATTGCCATTTACAGTAATAGAATTTGCTTTTTATTGGAATCTGTAAGCTATTAGGATTTTCCGAGAACATTTTAAAATATTATTTAGGGACTGTCAATAAAGATTAGGCTCCTAAAGCTGAGATTGGATTTAATTCGTTTTGAAACTGTGAATACAATATTGTTTATTTAAGGGTTTCTTTTGAATGCTTTTATCTTTACTTTGTGTTTAATTTAAGTACGTTTTTGGTTTGGATTTAACTTATTCTCTTTTGTGTGCCAATATAATATTGTATTTCAGAATTATCGTGCTGCCTATTTTATCACAAAGTGTTTCAGATGAACACAGCATGATCAATTATAATACCTATTAATAATCTTTTTTGATTTGAATTTATAATTTCAAATTATTTTTATTCTTGGATTATTAATTCTGTTCGACCTCTATCCTTTTTTTTATGCGATAAGTGACCCGACGGATCACCTGATGGTAAGCAATCGACGCCACCCTTAGACACTCGAAACATCAGAGGTGTTACCAGCCTTTTGGGAATTGGGAATTAAAGTTGTGGAGGATTCGGGGATTGGGGAAACTGGGAAGAGGGGGTAATTGGGCCTACGGTATACTCATTCACAAAACGAAACACAATGCAAGCGTTGTTTTACGTCGGTTTTCTGTAAGAGTTTTTGTCTGTCTTTTTCATTTCCTTTTCCCTAATAATTTAGTTCCCAAATAACTTGACATCATAGTACCGTCCACAATTCACTCCAGTCATGATTTTAAGGTTACAAAATAGACAAATAATAGAACATTTTTCCATAATGTTACAGAGTACTGTCACCCGTACGAGCCGTTCAAGTGTCCTGTGGATGGTAACTGCATCTCCATCCAGTACCTCTGCGACGGAGCTCCGGACTGCATCGATGGATACGATGAAGACTCCAAGCTTTGCACTGCTGGTGAGTATGATATGATATGATAGTATACAGTTTCAGAACATTCTGTAGTTATAAAATATAGCAGACTAACCCAGATCAAATAATGATTTGTCCGGGGATTCTAGTGGTGGATTCTGGAAATGGAGTAACAGTTGAATAACTGAAAAAAGAAGAAAAATAGATGATCACCTACAAATTTTGTTTCGCCTTATGAACCTTCCCTGGACTTCCACGAACATTTCAAGACTAAACTTAACAAAACCGGTTTAACAATTTTCGAGTTTTAGCTAGACTAATGAACGGAAATTGATTTTTATTTATATAGATAGATAGATTAAGCCCTTGACTGCCGACAAAAAACTGCTGAGGGTAAATCCTCTGCTATCGTGGCCCATACCTTGTCCCCCATGGCGTTCAAGGTGTTAAGCAAATAATAAATTAACTGAATTATTATTAACCAAGTACCTACATACATACATTTTATAAAGTTTCGTTACCAAAAATAAAAGGAAAACGTACGCAAAAAGTTTTTATCTTTAGGCAGGTACAAGTGTGTATGTGTACCTACTCTAGAAGTACTTCAACCACAGAAAACAGTCATGAAGTCATATTTCCACGAAAACAAAGTTCCACATTATAAATAAAATGAAAACCATACCCAATTATTTTGACTAAGTTTGTTTTCCATCCAAAATGTTCAAGGGTAACACTCATTAAAGATATAATTTAGTTTAACGTTATTTTAGGCTGTACGACTGTACGTACTGAAAACTTTTCTCGAGAGGAAGAGCTTGTTATTTTGTTTCATGATTTCATATGGAGTTTGGAAATCAAAAGTGATTTTAAATGTTATATTTAGAAACTAGGGAATAAGTTAATTAACTGTTCCTGTTTGATAAACTTCTAGATTCTATCTTGTGAAAGAGAACTCGATCGCGGTCCGCCATGTTGTCGGTTGTGAGAATAATATTGACCAATGACAGGCGAGAATGCGATTAAGTTCTCTTCAATCTTTCAAATTTCAAATCTTCCAGAATAGCCTAGCAGTAACCGCGTAGTTACGTTGGTAGCCAAAGCATATACTACTGAGTATCTTGATTCTTTTATAACATCACCAATCACCATGTCCACCCAGTTTTTATTTCTATTCCAAGACTAGGACATGTTGATTTTACATAGAACGGATATTAATAACACAAGACTCCAACAAATAATGAGCAGTAATCATAAACTATAGGTAATGTAAGAATAATAATAATATACGTAAAAAATCAAAGATATTGTAAAGAGGATGATTGACACGTCAGGTGATCGAAAGGCTGACTACCACCTTGGGCAAAGGTTAGGGCAATGCCATCCAATGCTGCCAGCCTTTTAGGCACTTTACCTCATGACAATGATGCGTTTAGTTAGTTGTTTTTACGTTACTTTTAGTCGTAAGAATAATCTTCAACAGTTCTTCAACAACGTAGGTAATAAATATAATAAGTTTCCCCCAACACGTGTCCGTCGTATGGCACGTATGTAGTAATTTTATTTCGTTGATGTTAACCAACTATACTATACAACATGTTGCTGCTATAATAATTTCTGTGAGGAACATAAATAATATAAGAACTGTGTCTGTTGTCTGTCTGACTTTTCCTGTCGCTGGTCTGCAAGAAAAAATTTTGTAAGGAATATGCAGTACCTATGTACCTCATTCTTGTGATGTGTTGCCCTTTATAATAGGAAAATAATAATGGTTCCGAAAAACAAATCAATATCCAGCGATCTGTGGCCGACTATAAAAATGGATCTTCGAATAACAAAACTAAACTTCCGAATAGAATATTGAACCTCCGACAAAATTACTAAGTTACCGACAACAGACGTTTTAGGTTAGGTTAGGTTAGTATTGTAGCAATAAACAGTCATGTTTATTTTTCGAAGATTTCAGTATCTCATTCGGTCGTTTCGTCACTTTTATTCGGACAGAAGTACTTAGTCGGAAAGTTAGTATTTTAGGCATTAGTTTTAATATTTTCAGTTAGGACAATTCTTCTTTTCTTGTCAGCGCTTTTATTAATAGAGGTACCCTTTAGGTATAATATTGTCTCTTGCGTGGTGTACATGAAATAAAAAATAAATAAACTGTAACTGAGATTCTGTAAAAGGGTCAACCGCAGAATAGTGTTTCAGTGGTATGCTTAATGACGATTTTGATAAATACCCATGGTACTTGAAACATTAACGTGCAAAGAAAGAAAAATCATTTACTATATTTGACAGTAAGCACACACACAGATACAAAAATAATACAAAATTAAAAAAGAAAAAGAAAAAAGAAATACAGAGATTATATTATGCTTATACCTATTAAACTGTCAAACACCAAGCGGTCACCGGTGACCGCAACCTATTGTTCTATAATTGTGTCTATAATGACGGTACTCGACGAGTTAATAGGAAATACAAAACAATAATAATAAACTAAAAAGAGTAATGACAAGAACAAAGAAACATGTCCTCTTACATCATCTTTTCAAATGACTGCGCGATGTAAATAATTTGCCATAGATAAGTTTTATGGCGATTGGTAAAACTGACTAGGTACTTAGGTTTGACTACACGGTTGGTGCGGTAGATGGGCAACCGGCTGCCGCGCAACATGTCGCGGATTCGATTCCCGCACGGAACAACTCTTTGTGTGATCCACAAATTGTTGGTCCGGGCCTGGATGTCATGTGTATGTGAACTTGTATGTTTGTAAACCAGTTAACCCACACACGAAACAGGAGAAAATCCTAGTGTGGGAGCAACGTTTTATAAAATAAAAAAGGTAGCTAAATAACGAATAAGCGTTCGTAGCTGACTGATCACAATCAGAGAAATTAAAATAATATACCTCTATTACCTATAAATATTCACCAAGCGAATACCAATAAAAGCCAATCAATTCTAAAAAGTTTTAATGGAATTCCAACTCACTTAAAAGACCAACTGATGCATTAACAAAAATGAATAAAATATGAACCATTAATAATCATCGAAGTACATAATTTCGCTCGGCTAATGTGAAATTAATTCTTCACTGAATGATGCATTACCATTTTATATGCAAAGGTAAATATTTCATTTTCCAACAATAAATAAATGGCAGGCCACAACTGTGCGCTTGTCACGTAGCTTTCTGCCTCACACAGCAAAACTGTGGAATGATATGTCGTCGACTCGTCGGCGGTATCTCCGAACCGATACGACCTTCAAATCTTCAAGAAAAGAGCGTATTCCTTTTTAAAAGGCCCGCAAAGCAACTGTGCGTCCTATTCCATATTTAAAAATAGGTACTCCGTTAGCAGTGAGTTTTAAACTGTCAAACACCAAGCGGTCACCGGTGACCGCAACCTATTGTTCTATAATTGTGTCTACAAAACCGGTACTCGACGAGTTAAATTAATGTGAGAATTAATGAAAAATTGTAACTATTAACCAATACTTACATTAATTTACAGTCAGTGTGTAAATACTATATACACTGTAAAGATTCCCAACATGAAAAACATAACATACTTAAAAAAATAACTGAAATTTAATATCTAGCCCGTGCGTAGTCGCGGAGAACCTAACGGGTAACCGGGGCTCCGGCTCGACGTGCAGGAGAAGGAACGGAGTGGTTTTTAGTCAGTAAGAGTCTGACACTCCCTCCCGCCTCACCCAGGCGGGAGCAGTCATTCGATGATTTTCCCCCCTTAAAAAAAAATAAAGCCCGTGCGTAGAATAGGTATGTGCCATATTATGTACCTACATTCCACTGCTGAATGAACTGCGTTCCTCGGTCGAACATTCGGTCTAGCAAGTTATTGTTTTCCAAGAATTGTGCTCCATGAATGGCAAAAGGCTTTCCCTGCTATTCAATGCCCCGCTGGGAAACAAAAGGCACGTTGTGAAATACCGTCTGAGGGAAACTCATAAATAGAAATATATATTTACACAGCTAAAAACAAACTTTATACCTACTTAGCATAAAGCTAAAATTAAGATTGAAAGTACGAGTAATTTAATTCTATTTCTGTTTCACCGGTTTTAAATTATAACGAACATTTTGAATGAGCACTCGTTTCAAAGGTACAGAATAAACATTAGCTCGCCCGAGTCACTGCTATAATGCTGGCTTTTGCTTAAACCTCTTAATTAAATATGCAAAAGGACTTACATGGTGATTACCTTGACCTAAACATACTGTTCTAAGAACTGCCTAATTTAGTAACTGTGCTAAAATTTAAAGATATGTTGTGTAAGGGTTAAAAAGGATTTGTGGATAGTCTTACAATCAGATTAACGGTTGATTTTAAATATTTTAAAATTTATCATACCTGTATTAATAACCTTTTTACGTATTACATTGCATAATTTCTAATTTCACAATAACAAATAAGAACTTAACACCTTAACAGTTCGGTATCTCAAGATACAGTTCAGATTGGAAATCTCATGGTAAACAATTGATTTTTCTAAATTGATCATTAAACTTGACTAGTTTCAAGCCATGCTAGAGCCTCCTACTCAGGAGCATCATGAATATGTTACGTGAATAGGCCGAAAATATAATAACTAATTTATGATATAAACGAAAGTTATGATATAAATTCAATATCATTAAATTCAATAATAATTAATCACAAATACATACATACATAATGCTTAATGCTTAATGGCTTTTATTTGATCGTAGCATTTTGCATTTTTTTTTTTACAGTTATTCTAAAATTTTGACTGTATACCTAGTTATCTATTTGACGACATTCAAATCGCATTATAATTTAATTTGCATGCCGAAAGGTAAAATGTACTAGGTCAATTAATTTTATTCCAACTTATATGTATACCTACATTATTAGCAAATAAATGATTTCTTTCTTTCTTCTTTCTTACATTGGTACAGTACCTATTCTTTTACAGACCAAGTGAGTACCTAAAACAAATAATACTAACTTTTATTAGGAGACGGAATAGCTTTTTCTTTACGACATATTACATTAGACCTCATTTGTTGTAAAATCGATGTCACACTTGAAGAATTTGCTTAACAATAGAAGGTAGGCATTGGTACATGGGTACTTACTTTTGATTGATTGATGGATTGAATTTAAGGCTAAAACTTCGAGCTGATAAATTTTTTTGATCTTTCTTCTGTGTGTGAATTTTTACATGTTTTCAATGAAGACAAGAAAGTCGAGAAAATCCTATCTATATATTTTCTTAATTTTCTCCTCGTTTTTTTACTTCTAAGGTATGAAAGAGATGATGAAATCGTATGATGAATCTAGCTCAGTTCACAAGTAAATTGAAACATTTTTTTTTCTTTTATACTGTGTTTTTTTTAATAAATAAGCTAAAGAACACAGCCTTGCAGCCAAAATAATCAATACGTCTTAAGTTACCTCTTATCTAAATAAAACGTTTCTACAATGGGCGATTAAATTGCTATTTCTTCTGAATGGGTATGAGTTGAGAAGCTATCCACGTATAACAAAGGAAATGAGCCTTTCTTCTGACAATACCTAAGTATCGAATATAGATCGATCTTTTTACTTTTGTTCTCTTGACTTCTTAGTACTTATAGAGTACCTACTTATTGAGATTGGGTAAACTGTTTTTTTTTCGATTAAGTAGTTAGAAAATATGTATTATCTAAAGAGATGAAGTCTTATTAGGTGTCTAGGTTATTCCCTTGACAATAATGTATTTTACAGCTTTTAAAGAGTTTAAAGAGTCATTTAAAGAGTTCGACGTGGTGAAATACTGACAACAAACAAGAAATTGAAGGTAAAACAATCCAAACATTCTGAATACTTAACACACAACAATTTACACCAGAAAAAGTAGGCAGAACAATTTAACGAAAAAAAAAAAGAAAATTTATTACATGTACCTAACAGTTACGCGAAATATGAATTTATAACCTAACTTTTGACATTGAAGCCCCGTCACGGACATTAAAATTTAATGTCTTACGTGATACGTAACTGCGCACATATGCGGCCTACATTCTTTGAAAGTGAGCTAAAACCTTCAAATCAACTAGCTGTGGTTTCTAAAGGCTTCTTTCAAAACCATGTAAAGAAAGTCCATGACGTTTTAAAAAGACCTGGCTTTTTAACTCGTCGAGTACCGGTTTTGCAGACACAATTATAGAACAATAGGTTGCGGTCACCGGTGACCGCTTGGTATTTGACAGTTTAATGAACGTGGTTGACGAATGCAGAATGGTCATTATCTTCATAGCATAGGTAGGTTACCTACAGAAACACGTCTTTAAGGGTCAGGCAGAAGAAACAGGCACGTTGCACGTATTAAAATGTTAGTAATTACATGAGGGTAGGTAAGTAGCGGTACCTACATGATCAACCGTTAAGGGCCGATTTATCGATCATCAGTTAATTCATAACTGTAGAATAAAATTGATATTTGAAGGTTTTTTAATATGGAAGAATTGTTAAAAATTCAAAGTTATTCCTCAGTTCAAAGTCAAAGCATTTACCTATTTCAATTAAACCATAATTTGGTACTTTTGAAATGTCAACAAATATAAAACAAATAATAGTCTGTCAGTCAGTCCGCCAGTGAAGCTAGGTGAAGCTAGGTGCTCATTCCAAAATGTAGATTCGAACGCAGAAGAACGAGCGAGAAACTCCATTCGTTACTCTTTTTCAAAAGTTAAAATTTTTCTGGCGTTGGGTCCAAGTATTTATAATAATTGAAGCCTTATTATGCCACATACGCGGAGAACCTAACGGGAAACCGGGGCTCCGGCTCGACGTGCAGGAGAAGGAACGGGGTGGTTTTTAGTCAGTAAGAGTCTGACACTCCCTTCCGCCTCACCCAGGCGGGAGGAGCCATTCGATGATTTTTCCCCGTTAAAAAAAAATAAAATTATGCTACATACTGCCGTCGGGCCGTAGAAAGCAACGAAATCACAAAGCTTTAAATACAGAACATTTATAATTTCAGAATATTAAATTCTAGAAAAAATCTAACTACAAGTACGTTCTACAGCTTATGAATTAGATATTATACAAAGTTATTACAACTATCAGTTCACTATTTATTCAACCAGCACGACTAGTGACAAAATATTGATTCCTACTATTTGAATGACGTCATTCTCTCGGTTCTAAATGCTAATGTTCATTACTCATGCCATTATCCATGTATATGTATCGAACATCACATTGAAAATAATGTATTAGTTCAGGCACATAGCAAATATTAAGCAGTTAACATTGAACATTGTTTAATCAAGGTTAAAACGGGACTTTAAAATTCATAATTTGTAACTATATGAGTAAATAACATATCTAATTTCTTTTCCGCAGCTAAAAGACCACCTGTTGAAGAAACAGCATCCTTTCTCCAATCATTACTGGCGTCCCACGGGCCCAACTACCTCGAGAAGTTGTTCGGCAGCAAGGCACGAGACGCCCTCGAACCACTAGGCGGCGTCGAAAAGGTCGCTATTGCTCTCTCAGGTAATACATCTTCGTTTTACTGCCGTCCCTAAACAGTTCAAAATATTTCTGCATTTGAAGAAATATGTTCTATATCGCTTACCCTAAAAGGATGAATATTTCTAGAACATTTTCAACTTGCTTCAAATGCCGATGAATATTGGCGCCCAAGATGGGACCGCAGTCTCTCTTGGACACCAAAAGTATGTATATCTAAAATTGATTATGACTTACAGTAATCCAAATATTTTCGTTTCCAGAATCCCAGACCATTGAAGACTTCGGTGCCGCATTACATCTAATGAGGTCGGACCTGGAACACCTACGCTCGGTATTCATGGCAGTGGAGAATGGTGACCTTGGCATGCTTAAATCTCTTGGCATCAAGGACTCAGAACTTGGCGACGTAAAATTCTTCCTGGAGAAGCTGGTGAACACAGGATTCTTGGACTGAATAGGACCGGAGTCTGCCTCTGATTACTATCACGTCGTCCAATTTGCCCCGTTAAGCTCATCCTTCTACAGCTACCTTCCTTACGACTCCATCAAATATAGGAGAAAGTAAATCGTACCTTTATCTTCTTACCCGTGCGATTGTTGAATGTGTGAACCTATATATAATATTTATAATCAAAATATTTCGAGAAATGATTTTGAAAATCAGAATTGACTTCTACAACCGGCCACGTAGACTTTTCTGATTCCATAAATCATTTCTCTGCATCCCCATTGGCTTACAGAAATATTAGGTAGATAAAGAGGGTATTAATTTTCAAATAGATTAGGTACGTATATTTTTATAAACATATGCTTCATTAGGTTGTAAACCAAATTCGTTTTTTAGGTTATACTAAAGAGATTATCAGGGCCCAACACTCGCGTCTATCATTAAGTGTGAAATGAAAAGAGGCTAAGACTGTGACTTTAGTGTTAAACTAGTCAAAGCTAAGCTTATTGTCGAATTCCACTTCATGATGACCCTGATAACCATTATAGCATGCATGTGATTTTTGAATGTCGCCCCCTAAAATGAAACCTCCCTAACTTGGACTATGATCAGAGGCGACTCCATTGAAACGTCAAGCGTCCATTCTAAGCGAGATATAAAGCTAAAGTCGGTTGATATGAAGATGTGTGTCCTTAGAATAAATAAAAAAATAAGAATCGTTGAAAGAATGCATACGCTTTATATCTGGCTTTTGGAAAAATCCAGAATAGGACCATGGAAACATATCATTGTAAACATAGATGTAGGTAAAGAATACATATCATAGATTATAATCTGTAGTAGATAAAGTACAATTATTTTAATATGATCGGTATTGTAGTGTACGACATTTTATAGACCCTTTTAGTATGTACTTTTTCGTCATTAAAGGAACTATATAACAAAATGAAAAGCATAGTTATAACGGTGCTGCACTTGAATCCAGATACATATCAAAATTAATGTGATTATTAAATAAATGTTAGATTTATTGTATGTTACTTATTTTAGAGTAATAAGTAGAAAAGAATTAACACCGTAGATATTAAATTCGATCCCATTAGATTTCCAAATTCTATTATCACTCGTTTTTAACATCTTAATAATATTGGTGTTGTAATGTTAGAACTTTTGTCAAATGCGGGCTAATAAGACAACGAATTAATGATAATGTCTCAATTCCAATGAGAGGGGTGAGGTACACGATGTAATATTGGGAGTTTAATGACAGGAAATGTAACCATTGGCAATTTAATTCCAAATTATTAGATGCCTGTTTAAATAATAATTTAAACTTACCCAATTACGAATGCTATCGCAATTACACGATTCTTTGAAGGGTTATAAAATCAAAACACGCGCGTAAGAATAAACATGGCCGTCGCATGCAATGTTGCCAGTTTATTATTGTTAAAGTAAATGCAGCCTGTATTTGCCAGAAGTTTATACCTAAAACCACAATAGATCTTCTAGATATTTTCAATCGCCAAATCTTAGTCTCAAATCACAATGTTTCAGTGTGTACCTATCAGTAGTAAATATATTCTCTCTCCGTTAGATCTAAATTCATATTACTATTTAGCTACCTACACGTAGTTAGTTTAAGACAATTTTTATGAATATCAATGGTTTTAGTAATATAGGTTTAATTTTAACTTGCGTCGGATTCTCTTAATATTCAACAAAATGGCGATCTTTGAACTCTGTTAGATAATATTATGTGTTTTGAAGTAAGTATAAATGGCTTATTGTTCTTAAATAACAAACCAATAAATGAATCATCTTGAATTTGTGTTTTATTTGATGTCCTTTTTAAGACCCCAAAAAATATATTATAGTAAAGAATAACAGTGCCACCTAGCCTCTGAGTCTACAACCTAGGAAAACTTAATTAGTTTCAGTGGCGCTACCCTCGATGTGAATCCAAAATGATATAGGTACTTGGCACACTACATAGTGTATTCATAGATAAAGAAATAAAAAGAATGTAAGTATAAACCTCTTTATTACAAAGCTAGAGTTAACACTGGGAGTTAATCATTGTTTTGATTTTTTATTTGAGTTTGAAGTTTCTTCTTATAGAGGTACCTACGATGTTGAAATTTACTACAAATAAGTAGGTAACGAATGAAAATGACATTGTTTCAAAGTATTTTAATGTATTCATAGGTAAGTCTATACATTTTATTGCGAAAATATCCCTATTATTATTTAAAAGTTAAAATTATATTTATAAAGCTTAAACATATAAATATTTACCTATAGTTAATACTATAAAGGTATAATTACAATATATATATATGTATAAAAAATTCTACGTATCAACAGAACAGTTGAATTTCAGTATAGTCCAAGGACACGCAGCCCCCTGTAGATTTTTGCCAGTATCCATACCTGCCACTAATTTCAAAAATCGATAAAAGTCATAGATTTTGGATTGACATTTATTGAAAATGGCAGTTTATTAATTATGGATATTTTAACTGTTAACAATCAAACGTTACTGAAACAAATTTTTGATGCCCTCTAAAAGATAAAACAAGCAATATGTAAGCGCGCATTTCGTTAGCTCCCTAGTTAACGGTGTTGCCAACTCGATCAATAGATGGCGCCTCGTACAGAAAAAACTTCACGACCTAAGGCAGCAGACCTATTGGAAATAAAATTATACTTTATATAACCTGTATTTTTTTTCATTACCTATTATGAACAGTGTACCTTTTGAATCTACCAACCTACCTACCTACCTACCAACTTTCTATGTTATTCTGAAGTACTAAAAGTTGAGTTGATTTTAATAAGGGAGTTTAGATCAGTATCAAAAACTACTATACCTCTAGTATACTGGCTAATCAGTAGTGAGCAAAACTATAACCCGGAAATTAAATTACTTGGTCAAAATAGTTATAGATATCATTTAAGCACAATCCGTAATAATGAAATGGTAAAAATTAATGGATACATATCGCAGAAGAGGTCAGCTAGGCAAAAGAGATTGAAATAATTGAGGTCGCTAGTATCGTACCTGTGGCAATCTGGTATATTATGAGTATGTACTCAGTCAGTTTTAATACTTGTAATTTTTATAGAGTTTGAAAGAGGAGGTATTATGGTCGGATTATTGTTTATTCATGAGATATGATCTGAAGGGAGTGATTCAGTCCAAATCAATGTTAGTTCCAGCTGTCACCGCGTCAAAGCCTTTTTTGCCAAGCTGTGCCTACCTAGGTCCATTGTGGTCATTGATAAAAAAAATTGCCCATAACTAACTTCTCGCGCGCCTCTCGTACACACGGGTAAATATTTTAATAGAAAAGCGAATTAATTATTCTGTTCAATAAATAAAGAACGGGTTGCAAACTTGAAAATATACGTCACAGAAAAAATATCCAATCGGTGCGCGTTTCTCGTACACCCGTGTGTACAATTGCGCGATGGGCACTCAACTCTCTTGTACACCCGTGTATACGAGAAACACGCGAGAGGTAAGTACGAACATGATGCTTGTTACACATAAATGTCCAAATGAAACACACTACATTATCAACTGTATCACAAAATACTTAGGTTGAAAATCCAAATTGTTGGGACCAGCTCTGGTGAGTTATCTAATCCGGTTATACGAGGAAGAAGACAGGAAAATATGAAAAATACTAGAAATACAATTTCGTAGAAATAAATACTACAACTACAATTAGCAACTTCAGAAAAGTTATATTCAGTCTGTGAATTAGTTTACTAAGTTGGAATCAGTTTTTTGGGTCAAAACTATTACAATAAAAATTTTCGTTTGTTATAACATGGATTGTAAGCTACCGTCGTCTACTAAATATTATTTTATCTATCTATACTTATCCTATAATTGTTAATATAGGACTCAATTCTGTTTAGAAAACAGTGTAACCTCTTGTTTGTCGATACATGAGACACATTAGAAAACGCATTGAGCTCCGGCATACCAAAGGCTAAAGCACCACTTCTTAACAAACAGTGATAAAAATAAAACAAACAGAAATACTTATTTTAAGTAATGCTTGACAAATCACAAGTTTTAATTACTGTTTCACTTAAACATAACATTTATACATAAAAGAAAAGAAATTAAAGCTTCTAAAAACAAAAACTTAAAATAACATTTAAAATAATGAAGTAGTTGAACAAAATAATAACTACACTACACATGCTCCTTTGTAAATTGGATGTTTAACGTTACAAAGACTATTTCCACACTATGAATTCAGTCAGTGATGCATAATTGCATACTACATTCAAACTTTAATCCATGCTAACTGCAGGCCTGATGCATGTTAGTCCACGGTTGGACATGGCCTTTCTCTGTATTAGAGGGTTTACCAAAATCTCCACACACATGGCAAGTAGGTAGCATGGTTAGCAGTAAGTTTAAAAGGTTCAGGTTTATAGGAGTGCTGCTACCTATAGTCAGAATTTTAATTAGATTCCAGATTTGACAATAGCTACTGTCATTTTGTGAAATAATGATACCACATATAATAGTGTAGTGATGAACACCAAAATCGATAAACAATCAGTGTGTGTGTTTTATAATAAATGTTACAGAAAGTGACAGGATAGCGATAGCGATGACGTCGACAATTTATAAAATAACTTATTACCATAATACATCTATCTGTTTTATTTGTCATGTTCCTTCATTGTTACATTTTTTTATTTATTTCACACACAATTATAAAAGAAAAGTCTCAGATCGTTAATTAACTCGTCGAGTACCGTCTTTGTAGACACAATTATAGAACAATAGGTTGCGGTCACCGGTGACCGCTTGGTGTTTGACAGTTTAATCGTCAAAATTAAATTATCGGTTAAGAAATATTTAATTTACTTAGTTTAGGAGAGTAAAATTATAAACAAGAAGAATCGATCCAGAAATATGGCATTTCCATATCGAATAATTTCGCAACGTCACTAATGTCACTATTCAGTACTTGTCATAACGTTGCAACACTGAAATTGTCAAATCTGGAATCGAATTAAAATTCCGAGTATAGTCTCTTGTCAAATGTATATTAGAGAGATATGATTCACACTAGAATATGTTCAGTGTAGGAGCTCGATAAACCTATGTGCAGCGCAACGCTGGGCTAACGTAGTGCAGAATAACGTCAAGTTAGCTCAGCGTTTAATTGACTCCAAAGGAAACGCTGCGAAAACACGACGCCTGCGCCGAGTAGTTGCGGCGTCTGCGCTGCGCATACGTTTATTGAACGCCTACACTCGACAAACGCTAGTGTGAAGGCGCTCTTAGTCATTAGTCAACTTTTACAACGCCAGCACGAAAAGGAGGGGGAGGGACAAATGTTAAAAACATAAGCAAGTTATATACAAATAAATAAATGTTACACCATACAAATTGTACGGAATGGAATGATACTACAGTATCTTGAGACAAATAACAATTATTTATGATCCTAAAGTACCTTAAAACTTGGCAGTAGGTATATGTTTCAGTAGACCTATCATACATTGATACTAACAATATAATATTTAAATGCCTAACAATAAAATTAAAAATAATAATAATATATAAGGCTAAACAAAAAAACTTATAATCTGTGCAGCTATAAAAGATGCACTGTCAATAGTTTTTCAACCAGACTTTATAGTTCTGGCAACACTAGCATACAATATAATCTTTGATAACAAAATCCTTCCCAGACTTTTCTCATATTTTAACAATGATATAATAAAATTATGAACATTGCTATAAATTGTTCACACAGTTCAGGAAGAATATTTTTAATAATAAGCAATACAGTACTACCACTTACTACATTTATTCCTAGGATAATTTTATCGAGATGCAGTTACTCAGTTTCTTTGCCAAAATAGTGATCACCATCCAGATGACATCAACATACCTCTAGTAACTTGTTGCCCAGTTCACTTTAGTTGAATTCATAAATGGCCGAGTACCAACACTTTCACATAGTTACAATCCTCAATCCTCACTGTCCTCAACGAAGCTGCTATGATTTCCTGCTCTTTTTCTTAGGCCCCTTTTCAGCCCTTAACTGGTCTTCTTCATCCATCTTTGAATAATGTGACTGTATATGAGCTAACAGCTTCTTTTCCCTTGTAAAACTTTCTCCACACATATTGCAGGAGTACTTATCCTTGTCTTTACTTTCTTTGTTTTCTGGGGCATTTTGAACAGCAGAAGAAGTTGAGATTTGGGATTCTTGAATTATATTATCGGTAGGTAAAACATATGAAGGTTGTAACAATGGGTCTACATTGATAAATGTGAAGAAGCCAGCATCTTTAGGTGGAGCAACATCTTCTAATGTTACCTTAAATGGCTCTTTGGAATCATCATCCTCTTGAACTTCAGGTTTTGATTTTCTTACTCGTTTTTTCGGTACTTCAACAGGTGGGGCTAGGGCTTTCGTTGATATTAGCAGTTTACTGGGATTTCCGGTTTGCACTACTGTGTAAGATTGCTTTTTCATGGCTGGTGTTGTAAATGCAACTGTAGGGGTTGCCATCGGTTGTTGGTACATTTGACCAGAATGGGCAACTGTTTGGAATAATCCAACAGGGTATGGTGTTGATTTTTCTTCTAGATTTATTACATCTGGGCTATTTGACTTATGGTTACCTCGCTTAGGCTCCTTCGTTTTTATTTCTGATTCTGTTTCAGATTTACGCTTTTTACTTTTATGATTTTCTACTACTGGAACTGATGTATCTTCTACTAAGGTAAACATGTTGTTTGGACCTGGCACCAATTTAAAACGTCCATTCAAGTTTGGTGTGCTAGGTATGTGTACTGAAGGTGTTTGAACATTTGTTGGTGGTGGTTGAGAATCGGAACTATGTGATGGCCCTGGATGAGCATTATCATTTTCCACACGTCTTGTTTTGCTGGCAGGTCCAGCTTTAGGCTTAGGTTTTACTACTGGAGCAGATTGAACTCTCTGCTCTTGTTGTTTATTCTCCTCTCTACTAGACTTCTCACTATCAGTACTAGAACCATTGCTATTTTCATTGTATTTCCATGGCTGCGATTTTTTCATTGTATTATCAAGTGTAATGTATTTAACTGTCGAGACTTTGGGTGCTTCTTGCACAGGCACTGTTTTAGGAATTTCAACTTTAGGTACTCCATTTTTAGCACAATGATGAGATTCTACTACTTCTTTTTTTAAAAAGTTTCTATTGCACAATTTACATTGAAATAATACACCTACTCCATTCACTTTTATCATGCTTATATAATCCATAATATTAAATGGTTTTTCAGCTGGCTTCTTGGGTGTTTTCTCAACAGACTCACTTGGCGGTTTTTCTCCCACATAATCAAAACTAAAGTTATTTATTAGAGCATTGTTCTTGGGTTTATTAGCAGGCTGATTTTCCTCTTTTTGAGGATTTTTAACACTACTAGGCTTTGCTGCTGATTCTACATTATTACTAACTGCTTTAGCTGGTTTACTTGCAGGTACTTTATCTTTATTCTTTAACATTTGTGACTTAACATCTTTAAGACTAATATTACCATCTTCATTGTCTGAAACTGTTTCAGTTTTGACCACAGTTGTTTCACTTCTTCGGGTAACTCGTTTGATTGGTACTTCTTCTGCAGGTGGACTAACAGGTATATTTTTAATACCCGCCATGGCTTTCTTTATTAAAGCATCGCAGATATCATCATTACTCATATTATTTTTATTTAGCTTCTCTTCCCATGCTTTTACAGTTTTGGCTTTAGTAATGAAAGGACCTGTCTTACCCAATTCAGTCCGTAAGTTTTCTTGTGTTTTAATACATTTTTGTATAAATTCATATAGTTCTTCTAATTTTGCTGAGCAACGGAAACATATTTTGTGTGGGAGATCATCATTTTCTGCAATCTGTAAAAAGGTTGAACACAATTTATTAATAACAAACAAGACAATTAAGTACACATACAATATCTTGGATAAAATCCTCAAAAAGCTACTCCAGAATATTCTATAATATTGTTAGATGTTGTCCATATTCTTCTCTATTATAGTATATTATTACTATTCTCTCTTCAAACAGCTGATTGAATGTTGTTAATGTTAACAGTAGTAAAATTTATATTGGATAGTTAGCTAAGTAAATAGAAGTGTACATGCTACACTCTTTAGTTTGATAAAACGAGCACAGAAGTATATCTTACCCCAAAAGGCATTAGTTCCTCAATCTTTTTAGCAGTGACTTTGTCAGCATCGAAAATATTCAAAAAAGGTCCATCTTTACTTTCACACAGTCGACAAACTTTCATAAAAACTGGTGGAGACGGTGAACTGTACGATTCAGCTAGTACTTTTGTAGTTAAATTCTCAGGAATTGATGACTTCGGCGGTTGTTTCGGTTTAGATTTTACCTTTTTCTTGGCCATCTTGTAATGCTATTATTTGCTATCGTGACCCTAATCTCGTGGCTTTTTCTCGCAATAAAACCTATGTTGCACTTTCAAGATTTAGATGCACCACAATTCTTAGCATTCATTCAATATTTCGTATAATAAGAAGCAGTTCATAAAAAACTATCAACGAAAAATTACAAGACATCTATTACAAGTACAACATGGCTGGTTAACAAATGTCAACTTTATATCTATGACTTTATGTCAAAATAATCCATAGAGTACATGCAAGTAAATAAACAGAATTCTATTAGAAAAGTTCGAATGTTAAGCAAAGTTGGTATTATGTCACATTTTCAATTTCTAATAATTCTCATTTATATTATGATCTACTCCCACCCGGTTTCATGGATCCTGTGGATCGTAGTGTGATGTTTATAGTCTTCCTCGATAAAATGAAGAATCCAACACAAAATAATTAATTATTTAATTAATACCAGTAGTTCTGGAGACTAGCAAGTTCAGATAAGTAAATAAACAAGTTCATCAATATCATTTTTATAATATTATAATAGGTATTTGAATAATGAAAAAATATGTTATATGTTATAACTCAATCACATCAAAACACAGAAGGAATTAGAATGAAACTTTGATAAATCTGGAATCTCGAATAAGCAGGGGTTGATAATTATCTGGAATATAAGATATAAGTTACTTTTTATTCCACAGATACACGGTGAAGCCACCAGCAGAAGCTAAATGAAATAAAAAAGATCTATCTAAAAAGTAATGTTTATTAATATTTCTAATACATATTTCAATGCATATAATATATTAATACTAATGTTCCACATATCCATAGTAATTACTTAGAAGCTTCTTTTAAATAAGCTATGAGGTCAGCACGTTCTCCCGCTTTCTTCACCCCAGCAAAAACCATTTTTGTACCTGGAATGTATTTCTTCGGATTCTCTAAGTATTCGAAAAGAGTTTCCTCGTTCCAGACAACTGCTTTCGATTTATTGGCTTCTGAATACTTGTAACCCGGCGCCTGCCCACACTTTCGACCGAAAAAGCCATAAAGATTGGGCCCCACTTTATTTCTACCGCCAGATTCAATAGTATGACATTGGGCACATCGTTGAACGAAGATTTTTTTCCCGAGTTCAGCATTACCAGCCGGTACGCCCATTTTCCATGATTTAGTTTTTGAAGGAAATTGAAAGGTAACGTGACGTTTACTCACAGCATACAAAACAGCACAAACATCAAACAATTTTGTTTTTTTCAATGACATTGATATCGTTCTGTCTCCACGTGTAAAAAGTTTGTTTTAATGCACTGGAACCTTTGCCTCTATACAAGAATTCTTTCATTTCTCCCTCTGGTCCTATTCAGCGCAGCGGCTAACAGACTTCTGCCCAATCTTTTCGCCATTGTTCCACATGCTAACAGGCAGTCTGCATCATTTAAATGGTAGGTATACTTTGAATTTTTGAGAAACTTTCTGACTTGCATTGAGATGATCTTTCGCTTCGCTGGTGATATTTCGAATCCGTTGTGATAAAAGAGCTAACTCTTTTTCAGAACGATATATTTATAACTTTTCTGTGTCCTTGGCTGTCCTTATTCTGTAACAAAACAAATCTACAGAGTAAAAATACAAGCCGTTACTTACTCTCCAGTTTATGTATTAGTGAATAAACAAGTATAGAAATTAAGTAAATCAACTCATCCAGATATTCAAATCCAGAGTAACAAAATATTGATTTAATTAGGATTAAAGAAGTATAGCTAATAGTTCAATATTTATTGCCTATCGAAATTTTTTTCCTGACTTTTTTAATGTAGCAACATTCTGATTACCCACATCCGCCATCTTGAATTTAGTATTGTGCCAGTCGGGGGGGCGGTGACATATTTTTACCCGTCATCGTCGTAATTTTGTGAATTTGTTGGAAAAACGCGAAAATAAGTGTCGTTACATCGTGTAAATAGTTTATGTCAGGACTGAACGTGAGGATGGCGGGTCAGACTATAAACGATAGGCTTTTGGCCGCCCGCCACAGCATCGCCGGGCAGGGTTTAGCTAAATCCGTTTGCAAAGCTACTACCGAAGAAATGATAGCTCCCAAAAAGAAACATTTAGATTGTAAGTATTGTTATGGTAAAATGCATACGTTTCAGCGTAACTCTCGATACACACATCTTTTTTTAGTCAATAATAATTGTGACGACGTCGTCGCCACAGCGACTTTGCCAATGGTCGATAACATTTCTATGATATTGAATGTAATCCGTGACGACCGTATTCAAGTTCATAGAAGGCGTATTATGTGTCAATAAAACAATAATAAGATAATGGCAATTGAATTCGCATGTAGTATGTCGAAATATTTTTACATAATGTTGTTTCTCACGATTGTATAGCTTGACACACATTACCTAAGTTATGTCATGTTATACTGGAAATAACGTGCTGGTTATAAAAAATCTGTCTACCTACTTATTGATTTTATGTAAGGACCTATGTAACTAGTGAGGATCAGCTTTAAACTTGGTTGCTTTAGTGCTGTAATTGTCTGGCATGGCAAGATATTGCTACCTAAGTATGTTATCATTAGTTAGATTAGTAGTCTTATAAAAATAAATACTGTAAAATATACATAATTATGTAGCTTCAAGCTTGGTATAATAAAAATACTCAAGCAATGAGTGTTATCAGTATCAATTAGAATCTGATTAGATTATTGTCACTGAGCCTTCAAAACTTAGCTACTTCCTAATGCATATCTACCCTACTCATAAACTTAACATTTTAATTACCAATATATAGGCAAACCACTACCTCCCCTTATGCTTCTGATTATTTTTTGTATGATATGTTATTTTCCAATTGGAATCAGTATTCCTATAAAAAAATTATATTATCCACATGTAAAGATCTCAAAACTATATGATTTGTCATTATTATACTAAAAATATAAAGTACTGTGACGTCAGTCTTGATTACCAAAATTATCTTGAAGTCCCCTCAATATAAACAGAATGACTGATTGTTTTATCAGTAACAACAAGAATGTAATTTCATAATATTGTCATAGTACTTCAATGACTGCTATAAGAACCTCACCTTACCTTATAATACCTAATTTAGACAGTCTGGTTAAAACAGCCTAGACAACTTTATTCTATTAAAATATTTATGATCTTTATTAGATTTTACCTACAGTTTTGCTTATGTGATATATTAAATAGAGTTATAAATACTCTTAACTATCCATGCCCACAAAAATCACACATACATAACCTCACAACTGTCTCCCATGGGGGTTGGCAGAGACTATGGGATACCATGTGCTATGATTCTTACATAGGTACCTCTTTTGCTTAATAATGATAACATTAAATTACTTTGTGTTAAGGTGAACAAAAGACAATATATTTAACATACACATTTTCACATTTGTAATATTGGTAAGGAAGTAACAATATTATATTATTCCATTAATTCATTATTTCCAACCCACTTTAATATGCTAACTTACAAGAATCATACAAGTCTTTACCTTGACAATAAGATAGAAAAAAAGTCAATTTCCTTTTAAGAAGTACTTCAAAGAATCCTTTAAGATATTGTTCTATGAATATTGAATTAATTCAACATTGCTCACATGTTCATATGAAACATTTACTGCTAAAATATTCCTGTATTAACATGCCACCAATGTGTTGTATGAGTCATCCTTTAACTGCATGTCTGGCTAAATGTCTGACACCCCATATGCTTTACTGGTACAGTGATTAACAAGTGACTAGTCTACAAGTTAATTAATGAAACTGTTTTTAGCACTGTTGGTATGTCAACAGATTAAAAATGGATTAGTTGATGCAAACCTTTTTGTTTGACTTGGTCAATATTTGGAGTTGAATAACCTTAGTTGGTTTTTCATTATCTATGTACAGTTAGCTAATATTATTAGACATATTTGTCATTATTAAATATTAGCATTTTCTATAACTAGTTATTTATCGTTATTTTATTCAACATGTTTTATTTGAAGATTTTGTTTGAGTAAGCATGAAGGTCTAAACATGTGGTTTTATTTTGCTGAAACAACAATTATGTTTTGCTCTACATAATTATCTATGTGAAAAGTACAATTCAGCACAATACAGCATATATTTAGTGTAATATGTACTGAACATTTAAAATTATCTAATCAGCTTCTTAACAGGTTTCTGGCACTTCAATGCATTAAATGATTAGGTAATGTTCAGTACAGTTCTTGAGTCGGCCAATATCTAGTTGAGGACTATTTCCATAAATTTGTGTACAAAGTGTTGGTAACTCAATGTTTATTACAAACCATTAGCAAGTTTTCATTCATAAATATTGTTCGGCTTGTTCAACTACTTTGGGGCTTTAGGGTATTAACTCGTCGAGTACCGGTTTTGTAGACACAATTATAGTACAATAGGTTGCGGTCACCGGTGACCGCTTAGTGTTTGACAGTTTAAACTACTTTTATAAAACCTTTATGTGGCTGCTCCGGGTTAAATAATTATGATTATACTAAGTTATCATTATTGTTTCATTCTCAGTTAGCCAGTGCCATTTACGCATTAAAAAGACGAAGTTTAACATTATGACAGTCATTCTTGGATAATATAAGGAAATAACAGAAATAGCAAGTTCCCATTGTACTTTTGAAGTTGAAGACTGTACAGTCATAATAATATTTTTAATATTATGCATTACACAAATAAATAATTAAAGTGGCATTTATGACGATGAGGAAAACACAAATTCTCATTTAATTTACTGTTTTAATACCATATTGATGAATTGTTATGACTAATAATTCTATGGCTTAGTGAAAGGCATACTATATTGTGTCTATACATAGTTATATGGTCCACTGCATGTTTGTGTTGTAGCTATGAGGGATATTGTGTAGCTTCAGCTTTTGTTATATATCGATGAGAATAGCCAATGTATGTGAAAGTCATGTTGAACCAGCAGAGTGTGACAAATTCAATAAAAAAACTAGTATCTTCGCGGATTCTGCCCTACATTTTACTCTTAAGTTTTGACCTACCTGAGAAATGGGTTAGTTGTAGTCGTAAATACATAGATTACTGTCATACCCCATTTGCATAACTTCTTCGACTTAGTGTCGTTTTGCGTAGTGTCATGGCGTGTGAAGTAGGTATGTATACAACACCATATAGCTTAGAAGCCATAAAGAAATTTTAATGTTCAATGGTTATGTTAAGGTTCCTTGGTAGGTTATGCTGAAGTGCTATTACGTATTTTAAGTAGTTATTCATTGAATGCTAGGAAAAAGAACACCCACTTTTTGCTATTTACACTTTGTTGGTATGTAATTCTATACGTAGGAGTGGGCGGACCTACTGCCATTTATCTAACACAGATACTAAAAAAGAAAGAAAAAAATTATTTCGAATAAACGTGAAGCAATCGCCTTTGGATTGCTAAATCAACGATGCAAAATTGTCTTAATAACTTTACGAATAAAATAAATTGAAGCGGGTTTTCCTGCGTCGTTCGGTTTCCAATTTACGTTATGTTTTTTTGTTCAATCCAACAATCCCTTATTCAGGGATCAAAAGATTTGCGACAGATTTCTTTTTCAAGGGTATCCATTGTTGGTATCGTGTTCAAATTACTGATATTCTCTCTGTAACAGTTGGATGTTACATTGTATCTGTTCGGGACGTTAATTGGTCTGATTGGAGTGAAATACGATAAGCAGGACAGGCTCGTTTCCTGTCCAGCTATCATATCAAATTGTCGTACTGTTCTCTGGAAGCTTCGGAGTTAGATAGTATTTATTTATATTATTGTTTACAATCAATGCTTCCTCCGAAATTAATTAACGTTTATGGTTAGTAACCGCAGAATTAATGTGCTACCCACAAAACTGATAAGATATGCATGTGGGGATTATCGTTCAAAAATACTACGGTACCATTTTCATTGTTGTACCCGTGCCATGTGGTTCACCAGTTAACACGGTAATGCTGGTTAACGATCCGTTAACTTGACCGACCGCAACTTGATACCCGTAAAAATCTTCGATAATGACCTGATTTTGTATGCCTTTTCCCAAATAGGCACAATACCCAAAAAGTTGGTAGAGGACCCTTTTTTTGACGTTAAAAGTAATTAACGAAAATGGGACCTGTTATATAATTTGCCTGTATTCTAAATCTGAGCTTGGACTGACATTGATGGCTATCCAAAAATACATAAATAATTCTGGAGTTCTAATCGAACGTTTTTAGCTCTCCGTTGAATGAATGGATTTTTCTCTAATTATGCAAAACACAAAATGCTATTAGAATGTAAATCGAGAGTACAGTATCTGAATATTTGATGCCGTTAGACGTGACCAATGCAGATTAAAGTGTTTTATATGCGTTTTGTGTCATTCATCGTCATGTGTCTCTTAATGAAATGATACTGTATGGAATGGAACAGACATTAAAAGTAACATTAACTTTTAGCCGGTTTTAAAGGGGGATTATATTTCATACTTTTCCATGTTATAGGCAGACAGTCCAAAAATAATACCAATCGCTTTCTCTTCGTTGTATCAAAATATACCAAAATCTTAGTCATGTTTTGTCACAATAGGAATAACCCACACTGACCAATTCTCTGAAATCCTAACACATTAGACCACTTACAGAGTAATTAAACCTAAAATAGATGTGAGCCAATTCATGAAGGCACTGAACCCAAGAAAGGACTAACGAATACTGGCTAAAACAAACAGTATAGTGTTTCTAGGCGTGTGTAACTAAATATTCAAAAACTCGACAAATATTCCCATTTGAGCTATCTAGGCGTCGCTGCTATTTTTATTAAGGGTCAATTAATTTGTTTTTCTAGTGCCATTTTTACATTGGACCAGACATTCGGTTTATTGGGTCAACAGATCGATTAGGAGTGGTTTGGAGCTGATATGAATAGCTAAGAGATACCTGGAATCCTAAATTGCTAGACTTTTCAAATGTCTATACTAGCTTTCACTGTTACGTAGATGTTAAAGAATAATAAACAAACACGCTGAAAGGGCAAAGTTATTGATTTTCTAAATTGAAAATAATATTTAACCCAAAAAGGTCCTTAGGCCTTGCGTATACAGCTTTGAGATTAACTCTCCGCGTGGACTGGTGGACCGTTTTGACAAATGAGATGTGTATCGATCCGTCTACATTCGCAGACTAGGTCGCCAGACCGCCAGGGCGGCAGACTGAATATTAGCTATTCAGCGTTAGCCAGGCTTTAATTCGAACTGTATAAAAGTGAATAAAATTCCTCGATTTCTTCTAGAATCTGGTTTTAGCAAACATTTGGAAAAGAGGGTTCTTAGCGACACTAGCTTTATTGGCTCAACGTTTAGGTTGAGATTACAATTTGCCAAACAGTGACGTCATACCACTTGTTATTGGACGCAAGATTACCATACAAAAGCATTTATTCTCTAAATAAAATTCTTGTAGTCGACCGTTTGTCATTTTTATGGCAACGTCTTCCGTTGTATTTAATTATTTATTTTTCCCAGACAGTGGTAGCCTTTCGGCCTATGAAAGCTATTGTTTGTTACGTCGTTACTTTGTAATAGTTCTCATTGAGTAACGTCTTACTTTCTATCTGATATGAGGTTAAATTAATTCATTATTCATCTTTATTTATCACGAATGAACGAGAAACTGGTACGAGCCAATCACGCCTTTTTTGTCACAAACAATATTATTAATTTTATCTAACCTTTAATGCATTCATTTGATAGATATCATTGAAGTAATAACAGATATGAATAATTTATCGATCGATAACCCGAAATAAGGATAAGATGCGGCTGACTCAAAATTTTCATTAGTATTCTGTGACGTCAGGAGATTCAACACGTAATATTACATGCCAACGTACCGTAAATTCGCGACACTTGACATAATGTCAGATTAGAATTTTTGTCCGCAGCTTTCGTAACGAAATAATGGTGTACTATTGGGTCAAGTGCGGTACGTAATAAAAATTTGGTTCCGCTGCTCGGCCTGGCCTTCACTGCGAGTGGTGTAATTGTCTTTTTTTCTATGCCTGTTGTCTATTGCTGAAACGCGAAAGTTTTTATTGTGTACCATCACGCACGAGGTGACTGGTTATGGGATAACAATGGCATGGTCACTTCATGACCTTTGAATCGTTGCGGGAAGAACTCGTCTTCCTTTTTAGAAGAATAAAATTGTGCTTCAAATAGCATCGTCAGTCCCCGTTTTTGCTTCTGATTAATTTCTTTGCACGCTACAAGACAGTTTAATGAGTTCTCCAGAAGGTCAAGATTACTGTACCCTTTTTTGTAACTGTATAACTGGAAGTTACCCTCTGTCTTGTGTCTTATAGGTACAATAATTACCGACCTAAGTAAATACTCTCTCCTTCCATTATTCCAGTCTCGATATTTCATTGGTAAAGTAATTGCTAACAAAACTGAAGTGCTAATTAATACTAACACTTCAGAGTTGAAGTAATAAAGTATCCGGGCATTCTATGAACTCTCGTGTCCCAGTAATGTTCAATATTATTGAAATATACAACGCTTTATGTTCCTTCGTTTTATGCTAGCGTATCAAACGCTTGAGTCGTTTACACTCCGGAGAAATAGCTGTTTAATGAATTGTAGATTTCCAATATAGGATCGATCATTGCGTAGAGAATCCATCACGGTTTTGCGATGCGCTGATGTCGCTCGATGGTACCCTGATTTCATATTCTGAATGAGCGCGAATCGTTGTGCCATTGGTTGAATGATAACACATTGATGGCTATCTATCTTCCTTGTCACATGTTGAAACGTTATTTGCCATGTGGGTTATTTTAGTATTCTGTAATAAAACAATTTATTTATTTTTGTTTATGTCTGTTGATTTTAAGGTTTTAGACGTAACTAGATTATATTACTGCTATATGTCGTATACCCTGGTCGGGCCAACGATATTTCCATAGATCTTATTTATCGTATAAAATCTCAGATTACTTGAGATTATAAGCAACTGTACAAAAGGATGAGTTGTACAATGCTAAAGGTCACCATAAAAGCAGCTTCGAGTGTGGTTGCTAATTGTCAAACTACTTTTTTCGACATAACTTGTTTTACGAATGATTCTGTTGCTAGGGTGACGTAATAATGGGGTTTATAGGTTCTTGTTTATAAATACATTATTTTAGTCATATTTTTCTTTATCTACTTTAAAGGCATACCGATCTTGCATGGAAAGTTCCGTGTATTGTGAACTATTTCGATTCACTAACAAATTTCTAACACGCCGTTACGAGTTTACTTCCAGAAGTTAATTATATCCAACGACCGAGCAACAGTTTCCTACCTGGAGAATTGGATTATTTAGTTTACCTCCATTTCTGGAAGCGTTTATAACAAAGTAAACCGTATGGAACTCTCAACTAGTTATACTAGAGTTTACTGGACTATTCATTCCAATAAATATTTATTGTCAATGACGTAATAGAAATTACCACATAACATAACAGAACTTCACGCCTGTCTCTCATGGTATTAGGCAGAGACTATGAAACGCCAATTGCTACGATTCTTACATACCTCTTTCGCTTCATCAACAGTCGTCAATCTTTTCATGCATGTTCGTCGGTTAAGGGTACTTTTAATTTGGTCCTTACAGTCCGTCCGCCATTATTCTTATACATATAACTGTGTGTAAAGGTTAACATCAAATCGATTACGTTTTCATAGCAGCTTCAACATTATTACCGTTCAAAGGCAGCGCTAATGGATATCAACTAGGGCTTTTATATCGTGTATAACTTTGTTTTCCGTACCTACTACAAAGTGACATAATTTATTCTAGACCGTTAATGTTCGCTTACATGACTTTTAGGTCGAACGTAAATGTTTAAAAGGTTTCTGAGGGAATTAGGATAAGTTATTGGGTTTTAATTACACTTTAATGATAATTAATTGATGTTCAGGTCCATTAGGTTTTAGTATAATCGAATTTATTAGGTTTTGTTTATGTTAGACTTCATGCTTATAGGTTGCACATTTTCGGATCTATTTTATAGCTTAGGACGTTATCTAATCTATGAATCTATTATGGCAACACAATTAGTCACGTGGAAAAAAGGAATTAAAATGAGCTTTAACACATTGATGTGAAGTTTTAGAGTTGACTAGCTTAATAGGTTGGTATAGTTAATGATTTCAAGGCTGTTCTGTTACTAATCGACATATCAATGAAATCCAATACTAATACAATATTCATTTTAAAGTAGGCTAAATATCTAATGACATTCAATAGTGTATGGAAAACTAATATGCTTATGCTATTGAACAATAATCATGTGTTTAATGTCCGAATTGTGTCTGGATTAGATATTACGATCATATTACTTTAATTACATCTGTTTATTTATCAGACTATTGGCATAAGTTTACCATAATGCCTATGAATGACTTTGACAACTGTTTTGTTAGAAAAAATAGTTTTAATGATAGCCAAGACTGATAAGATAAATCAACCTTCACTATCACTACGCGCCCATGAACCGTAAGTTATGCGTCATTTGGTTGTAAAGAATGAATGAGATTGGGAACTTGGGGCTTTTGTCTATGGGTTAAGTACTACGACTACGCTAGTTATGACATAGGAGTAGTAAAATTGTGAACAAATCAAGTTTTTTTCTCTCTGAAGGTCCAGGCAGTAGGAATGTTACATTACCTACATTATTATTTGTCAGTTATGAATGTCATGTAATAAAAGCCAAACATAGCCTTTTTTGAGGGGGAATATGATCCAATTATTTCTCTCGCCTCACCCGGGCGTGTCAGACTTTTACTGACTAAAAAAACCACCCCGTTCCTACACTTGCACTTCGAGCCGGAGCCCCGGCTATCTGTTAAGTCCTCCGCGGCTCCGTAAAACTTATAGCTTAAGCGCACAATTTGAATTGAAACTCCGTGTTAGTTATTAAGACTACTGAGAATTTTGAAAATCTAAAAGTTCTTAAAACTGTTTCATTGGAAAGAAACGAACCCGAGATGAGACGAAACTTTCAGCACATCTTTGAATACCAATTGTTTGATAATTTTTCCAGATTTTCTCTACCTCATCAGACATCTTAACAGAATATTAACCAGTACTCTTTGTTTCCAGATCTAGTCCACTGCACAAACGAGCCCAACGTGTCGATACCACAGCTCGCCAACCTGTTGGTAGAGCGTACCCAGAACACTAATTGGGTGGTGGTGTATAAAGCTCTAATAACTGTACATCATCTACTAGCATATGGGAATGAGGTAAGGACCATGTTTAATTACCATGTAGAAAATTAAGAAGTGTTCATATTATGCTTATCAATGTTCTCATTGAATATTTGGTCAGTCCATTGAAAAAGAGCGATGTTGTGAATGTATGATGATTTGGAGATGTAGTGATAAAGGCTTTTTACCAGATCTGGCTGAATTTTGGTATACACAAATTGCGGTTGTCTGCCTTCTAAGACTAGAAGCTTGCTTGGTATTAAACTTTCTAGCTCTGAAAACAACTTATTCGGATTATGTGTTTTATTATTGGCTGAGCGACAATCAGACACTTTCTTCATACTATGGGTGCCACCCAGAAACAACCACATTTGTAGTTGTAGGATGTGGTACTTGACGGGCCATTCACATGGAAACAATCAATCAATTCCGTAACCATGCAATCAGTCCTTTGGTTGCCCAGCCATATGTTCCTCGTCAACTAAGACGTGTGCACATTTCAAACGTGAACGTAGCCAATGAAATTGTTCAATGGAGCTACGTCGGATTTCCGACACGGTACACATTGGCACATCAAACGGCTAATTGTGTACAAAGCCTTAGTTACGTAGGAACTGAACCAACCGGGCTGCTCCTATATGGAAATTGGTTAACCGGCTTCAGTTTGGAGTTTATTAAGTCTGGAGCTTTGCTAACAGATTTTTGCTACGGTGATTCTGACATCGTAGCAAGCAAACTGACTTATTATCGACATTAACACTAAAGAACGATAGTAGTGTATATCGATCGAATGACTGACGTTACGTAAAACTAATGCTAAAAAAAAAGCAACATACCGGCCGAACGTATAACCTCCTCCTTTTTTGAAGTCGGTTAAAAACTAAATGGAAAAGTCACCACTGCACTAATTCCCTTCCCTTCACCAACGGTAAATGCCAACCGTCTTTAAAATTAATCCTGAAAGCAAAGCAGCACGATAATTATCGAGTCGTGACGTCAGCAAACACAAAAGGGGCAGATACCCACGTACCCTACATTTCCGATGCCTGTATAATTCCTTATAATCAGATGGAGGAGTTTCACCCTTTGTGAGTCACAATTAACCTACCAACTTATCGGGAAATGGGAATTTCTGTGATGGAAAAACCGAATGCATTTTCTCTTGCATAAATATTAAATAGTTTTTGCATTCATATTCTATTAGAAGTTTATTCTTGTTATTTTGCTTCAATGTAGTCGATATTTCCACAGTACAGTTAGTGAAATGTGACGCTTCGTCTCCTTCATCACCTTTACCCATAAAGGTGAAGAAAGAAGTCTTCAGTTGGAGTCCCCATGTCAATTTTTGTTAAAAGTTCCAAGTAGTTAAAAATCTTCTATTGGATTTTAACTAATGTTGGGCCTAAATCACATTTGGCGAGAAGTGGGCGTACTACCTGAGCACTTAGTATATCACGAGGACGTTAATTTGGAGATAATTTCATAGCCGACTCCATCAGTACCTCGCTAACTTGCTTTGATCCAATCATCTTGTGTTCAAACATCCCATAATGTCTCTATAAACTTGTGTATACAGGTAAAGCTCTGATAGACTGTTTACGCGTTTTTTTACTATCAACACTAGCACGCTTTCCTTCCAAAGAATATTACGATGCCATCTGTTATTATGAATATTACCTTTTTTAAAGTTTTTTTAGTCTTGTATGTATGATGAAACGATTTATGACATTTGATTCTGTTGCTCTGAATGAGGTAGACAATTTAATCTGCATTAAAATGTACATCTGTAAGCTGCCACCTTTCATCAAAAAATGACCATTAAGCAAGTCTATAGTCAATGTTTTTAAAAAAATTTAAAGTAATGAATTTCCAATGAGGCCACATTTTTTCATCTTCCTTGTTCTACGTATTTTATTAGGACTAGAGTTTCAAGGGTACAATTTTCTCAAAACGTGGATAATATTAAATGTAAACGCAAGTGTTGTTTGATTGTTTGTCACATAATTTATGTATGAATGCTTGTTTATTCCCACGTAGACCCAGCTGAATGTACTTTGTGAATAAAACCAGGTATTTATCAATGAGTCACGATTTTACCATACCTGGTATGTGTAAAGTTTATGGGGCTTATACTTATTTATATGGAAAATACAACTTAATATAGCAAAACTAGAAGTATGATTTTCGACCTTTTGTCTATTAAGGCATTGGCTGCCAATAAAAAACTGTTGAAGGCAAATCCTCCGCTAATGTCGGTCACCAGTGACTGCCATGGCGTTTAACGTGTTAAAGGTCTCTGATAGATACTCAGGATCTTGGATCTAGTTACGGGCAAGTGTTTTTGTTCTCCAAGTCTAGGATGTTCTATTAGGTTTTAAAAATCTACAAAAATGTGGTTTACTTTTTGATAGTTATATATATTTTTTCGATTTACCGTAGCCTCTACCAAGTCAATTTAAACTGTCATTCACGTTGAGTCCATGATATCAAGATTTCGATTCGCTTAACCATCATACCCATCCATTATAACAACGTCTTGATTTGATTCTTGCTTCCATTACCAGAATTTTCTTTGATGCTGTTACGCCCATTATATTATATTCATAAGCAAACATACTCTCGTTTGCTTATCTCATTCTAATGTAATTCCATCTTTCCTTTTACGATACTCAAGGGAATGTATCTTCGCTTTTGTGGGATATCTTAAGTAGGAGTTGTCTGGAAAAAGGAACTGAAGATCAATTTTAATCGAGCCTTTAGCACTTGACCTAAATATGATAATGAAAAAAATCAATACCGTCTGGAGTCAACCGATCAATGCGCAGTCCATGAACTCGGTACTGATTAATGTGAATCACTCAATTTCTCGCCTATCAAATCACGCTATGGAGGTCAAGACGTTTATCATCACATCGGAAAACATGATCTCGATCGGGGACTTTTTATTTATTTATTTATTTATTTATCTATTTATGCACCACACACAGACAGTACACAGGAGAACATATATAAATATTTTGGAGGTACATAGGAACTACATATTCCCGAAGGAATCTCTTCCTGCAGTCCTTCGACAGGAAAAACGGTAAAAAAAAAGAGACACTGTGCGTAACACGACATGAAATGTGTTAAATAAATAGATCACAATAAAATACATAGACCTATACATACATATGATAGATACACATCAAATAATACACATATTAGACTATATTACAAATAAACATATTATACATATATATATATATGACACTAATTTGAACAAGATGAGGAAAGGTAGTGCTCCCTTACGAGTCTTTTAAAGATTGGGATGGATTTAGAATCACGGATATTAGGTGGTAGGGAATTCCAAAGTCGCACTGCATGAACAGTGAAGGAATAGGTGTAAAAATCAGTATTGTGTGAGACAACAGAAAGATTAGATTTAAGATGAGATCGGGAAAGAGCCTCAGGAGGGCGGGCAAAGGAAAAACGTTCACGAAGGTAAGAGGGATAATCGGGATTAAAAAGTATGTTGAAAAGAAGACATAAGATGCGAGTGTTCCTGTGAAGTCGGATTGGGAGCCACTTGAGTCTTTTGCGAAATTCAGAGATATGATCGTACTTTTTTAAACCAAAGGCAAAGCGTATACAGACATTTTGCAAGCGCTCAAGTTTATTTAGAAGCTCCTCCGTGGCATCCAAATAGCAAGCATCAGCGTAGTCGATCAATGGACGGATCAGAGACTGCATAAGGTTGATCCTCGTTTTCAGAGGTAGAAGAGACTGGAGACGCTTCAGCGAATGCAAAGAGAAATGAACTTTACGACTGATCTCGTTCACCTGTTCACCCCACGAAAGGTTAGAATTAATAAACACGCCCAGATTCTTGGCAACATCAGTGTAAGGGATAACATTGCCATTTAGGATCAAAGGATCAAGGGCAGAGATGCTCAATGCGTTGCGGTAAAACCTACCACCAATTATCATAGCCTTGGACTTGAGGGGGTTGATTTGCAGGCCAAAGGATTTGGCCCACTCGTCGACCCCACCCAGGTCACGGTTCATGGCTTCAATTGCAGAGTCGACCTCTGACAGCTTGAAATGACGGTAAAGCTGCAAGTCGTCTGCGTAGAGGTGGAAATTAGAAGTGATAACCATGGCAACGGTGTTAATAAAAATGGAAAAAAGAACTGGAGAAAGGACACCACCCTGAGGCACGCCAGCAGCGAGGTCACACCAATCGGAAAAGGTATCCTCTAGGCGAACCCGCTGACGGCGGCCCCGGAGATAGGAGTTGAACCAGGATAAGGAAGAAGAGGAGAAATTGTTGGACTTAAGAATACCCAACAGGACATCAAAATCTACGGAATTGAAGGCGGAACTGAAGTCCAACAGAACAAGAAGAGTGAGAGATTTATTATCCATGGCCCAGCGAATGTCATCTGTAACTTTGAGCAAAGCTGTGACGGTGCTGTGACCAGGACGAAAACCTGACTGGAAGGAGGAAATGAGATTATTACTGGATAGATAGGCCGTTAGTTGTTTGTGAACAATATGTTCCATGACCTTGGAGAGAAAAGGGAGAATAGAAATAGGTCTATAGTGAGAGGGAACAGAAGGTTTGGATATTTTAGGCAGGGGAATAACGTGAGCCATTTTCCAGGCAGTAGGGAAAGAACAGGAAAATAAGGAGAAATTAAAAATGTGGGTAAGAATAGGAGTGAGGAGATGAAGAATAGGGATAAACATACGAGAGCATAGATTATCACTGCCCACCGCTGAGGATTTCACTGCCAACATGGACTTTCTCACGTCATCATCAGTGACACTGCTAAGGACGAACGGAGAACAGGGAGGAAGTGGTAAACTAGAAAGATTGGATAGGGTGACAGATTTAATGGAGCCGTCGAGTGATACCGGAGAGAGTGAGAAGTGATCGTTTAGAACCGCAAGGTCTACGTCGTTGGCATCGGAAACAGGTGATTTACCAATGCCCACAGATCGCAAGAACCTCCAAACGTCGCTTGAATTGTGCTTCTCCAGGTTCTCCTCAA